TTATCAATCTGTAATAAAAGACGTGAGGAAATTCTGTCTTTTTTAAAGACAAAAATTTTTGAGGCGAAATACCCAAAAAGAAGTTTGTAAAAATTTTATTATCTTTGATCTTGATTTCCATTCACTAAAATTTAACGTTTCTTCAAGCAACTAGTAATAAATGTCTTTTAACGCCAACATTTTATTTATTTGGTCTACCTATTTCATTTAATATGTAAACAAATACGTTAGGACTGATGCAAATATATTTTGTTATTAATAGTAGTAAGGATATGCAGAAATACAGTAAAAAATGGCAACGAAATATCACTGATTATCATCCTGTTGGACAAGTGGATTTTAACGTAAAGTAAAGTGTTAAGGAAAATCTTTTACGGGCTCCGCTAAAACATAGCTTCGGAAGAATGATAAAATCCACTCATGACCAATAGGAAATTACGTTATAACACACCGGCAAAAGTGTTATTTTTAAAAGCCTTTAATTTTTAACGGAAAACTTACAGAATGCGGCACTAAGACCATTAGAAAAGCTCTTGAAAATCGAATGCTTTTATTAACTTTACTAAGATAATTACTTCAATGGATTTTTATATGATTAACAGTAGACGAATTTGAGTGAAGAAACTTATTAAGAGACTTCTGCCTGATTTACTTTGCCAAGTATCGACTAGCTTGAGTAAGGATAATTTGTTCACCCAGTATCGTAGGTGACCAAAAAAACATTATTATATAAATTGAAATAGAAATTGACAAAATGAAAAAAAAGGACTCCCACTGAAAGTCAATTGGATGGAAAGTTTTCCAGAAAAAGCTAACTTTAATCAAGGTGACTAATTTAATAAGTATAATTTATTCACTATCAACAATCAAATATTTTTTCGTCTACGAAAAGCCCTAGACATTGTTTCCTGCTTTGAGTTGGGAGATTGTACGTTTTTTTAATAACATTTCCTTGGCGGCAATTAATTAAATTTGCAAAGGCGCCCGAACTTTCAAAATGTCCCTGATCAAAAATTCATGGGTTTAATTAAAGGATTCGAACCGTCCCAGCAACTTTCCCAGCCTGTCGCTTCCCTCTTCTCGAACATCTAAACCAAAATGTATATTTCTGTAGTTCCTTTTGCATTGATAATGTACGATTTTAATGATATCCTCATTATACTGCCCTTAATGCCGCAGTTTAATTATCTTTAAGCCCAAAAGATATTTAAATATTTTGGATATCAAAGTTTTGAATAATCGATACTCCACTAACTGCACCAGGGATTAGTAAATGTTTTAAGCAAGATAATTTCCAGAATAAATGATGTAATCATAACCCAGTCGTTTAAACGACGCTATTAAAATATTTTCGATTTCATTTTAAGCCAGCCAGTAAACTCATTTTTTCCGATTAAAACATATAAGATATATATCAACCAATAAACGTTTAAACCACGAGGTATCTATTGGAAATGTTTCCATATATTGACATTTGTGCATTAGGCAGGAAATAATATTTCAAATAATCGGGAGAACTAAAAATATTTTTTGCCAATGAAATTATAAATTTAATGTATTCAGTTCTTACCTTTAAAAGTATGTACTAGTTGATTTGTCATTATGTGCCATAGTTGAGGATCCGTATCGGCAACAACAACAACATGTTGTCCATTAGGGGTACATTCGATCAATCGAACATCTGGTGTTATCATCGATTTCGCTTGGCTAGGCAATGGTGGTTGTAACCAATCATTTAAAGGAACTACAAGAGGTAGTGTAAATCCATCACACCACGCCATTGCTGAGGTGACCAAATCGCTCATCAAACCTCCTCCACGTTCCGTTACGGGTCTCAACCAAGAGATTAGCTTCAAAGACGCAAATCGATTAGTGTATAGCAAAAAGATACTGCAAGTCAAAGCAAATTTATCAAGCCAGAGTTCAAATGTAATTTTCAGTTCTATTCGAAATCAAATAAAACTACCGAAGAATTCGTTAAAGCATTACGTCTTAACGTTACATCTTCTCTTTCTATAATCAACTAAATGGTAGAGTCGGAGGCCTCGAGCTTAAAAACTTAAAACTCTTTGACGAAACTTGCATAAATATTGGAGAAACGCTTGGTTTAGTAATATCAGGAGAGTGCACATAGGAATCATTTTCGATTGCATACACACCATGATTTACATACAAACTAAATTTAGTTTCAAAAGGATACGAATGAGGAATTTTATTTAGACTAGAACGACACAGTTCACTTTAGATACACTTTTTCCTGTTCCAATTTTGTCTGAATGTATTGGTTTTCACAAAAAGTTCATAAAAGAGAATTTAGATAATACAAAATAATTATTAAAAACTCATAAATTTGGAGGAAAATATAATGATTTTAATAAACATCTGATCCAATCTAAATTTGTATCAAAGATTAAGAATTATGAAATTATGGTTACTGGACGTAAGAAGTCTTTTTAAAATAAACGCTATTTATTTAGAACATGCACTATAAAATTAATCAAAGCAAAATCAAGAATGATGCAAAATTGATATAAATATGCTAACTTTATTTCCGTTACAGCAAATTTTTGAAAATTACAATTTATTTTATAGCCTCTCATTAAGAAAGCCAATAAATCCATAGGAAAGTCAGTTAGTGAAAAAAATGATGTAAAGCACTACCGTAATTTGAACCACTACAATTATTTATGTCCCACAAGTTTCATTGAATATTTATTATTTATTATCATGACTCCAAAACCTGTAAATTTCTGAAACAGGGTCAGTCATAATTAAGTTTACAAACGTTTTACAGTAGATTCCGTCGATCATTATTTATATTACTGTGATAAATAAACCTCCAAAGATTTATTGGAAACATTGTAATTTATTCGTACATCCGAGGAGAGTGATGATGATGAAATTAAATTTTGGATATATTGAGAAATAACTCTAGCACGTTTCCTTATGTGTAAATTATAAATTTAGTTTTAGCAATGGTGTCCATATGCCTGAACGCATATTTGTAAAGAAAAAAATAGGACCCCAGTCTTTCTAAATGTAAAAAATAGAGGGTACTTTCCAATTTATTTATAAGAAAAAAAAAGAAAATCTTTTGACATTTGTTTGCTCGAAGCCTCGTTTCCAATTAAAACATTAATAACTTAAGCGTGCGTTTTATCGATTTATCTAAATAATTTATTATTTAGTACTAATCAAATAAACTACAAAATAAATAAAAATAAAATAAACTGAACACTAAATTATATGTTGAAAACGCTCTTCATTGGCATCTCAACTTGGGTATATTAATAAATTTGAATTTGTTCAAAGAATCTTGTCAGATCTTCCTAAAGTAAGCGAATAAGCGAGGTGACACTTAAACAGAAAACCGAAGAAAACAATATTTGCTATCCAGTTTGTACCGAGTTCATTAACAACTGTTCTAAGCTATTCAGCTCAGCGGTTAACGGGAATAAAAAATTGTTAATTTTGTTTGTTTCCAAGTTGCAATAAACGGATATTGATGAGTAATAAAAGTTAGAACGCGATGATACACAAAAAATCTAACGTAATTTTTCAATTTTATCTTTCTGTCAGGAACGACATACTTTTACTTTTTCCTGCAAGAAAGTGAATTTATTGTATTTAAAAAATATATGTCTCAATTTCAATTGCGTTTGACTTTGGTTTTGAGCACTTTTAGTGCTAAACAGCCATGCTGATTTAAAAAGAATGGTTAGTTTTGTTTTACTAAGGAGAAATTCTCCTCGTTAGGAAGTCTTTTTCGAATCTGAAGTGAGTGTGATCAATTTCCGAGAGATCGGCAACATGAGCATCAAATTATATTGATGAACAATAAAAATCAGATCGCGATGATACATAAAAGCTCTAAACGATCAGAGCTTTTTTTTTTCGATAGCCGGAGAATATGTATCGAGACTTTTTATCATTCAGTCATTAAATTACTTGCGACAGAGCGGATTTTTCTTAGATTTGGCTCTCATGTTCTTGATAGCAAAATTTAAAGTTAAAAATGATTTATTTATAACAATCAAAACCGACGTTTAATCAGTAAGATGTGTAGTAATAATGTCCATAGCAATTAATTATAAAAGCTTATATGATATTGATATTAGCCGGATTTAAAAAAAACGTACTAAAGCCTGATGATCTTACCTGCGTGCCGAGCTGAAACGAATCCCGTGTCAAAACATCGGTCGACATTTTAATCGAAAAATAAACGAGTTCAATTTCTCTATCCAGTAAGTAACAGCGAACGTGCTCCAGCAGACACCTCAAATAGCTCACGGAGAAAGTTTGAAGCTACGAAGTAAAAATATATATCGTTGAAAACAAAATATATCAGTTTTTCATCTATACAGCATCCATATTTTTTATTTTCACTCCGGCTCTTGGCCCTAGCACTAATTTCCAAGAGCCAATTTAAATTTAGTATAAGCTAATTAAATAACATGTAATTTTTCATTATTCCATTCCGCCATAAAGAACAAAACTTTTGATTAAATATGTGTATTTCTTACGAACTAACTTGTTATTTTATACAAAATTGCAAAATCATACAAGGTAGAAGGTTATATCCTACTAGGTAAGTGGCCTTCTACAAAATCTCGGAGCTTGCAGGACTTGTGTCTGGATATTAAAAAGTTAAATACTTAATTATAACACTCTTGTTATTTAATAAAATTCCTTGACCTATAAAATTATTTTACGAGCATAAAATTGTGTTTTAGAAGACTTCGACATCCTTGATATGCGGCAAGCATTCTCAAACCCTATTTAATAGTTATGTGCGTTATGGTCGCACAATGCAATTTATTATTAATTATTTGAACCTACATGATTAGATTATAAACCTCAAATGCTACATCGACTTTGAGAACGTTTGTTGCCGATGTAAGATCTAAGACAAACGTTCAGTAGAATTATCAATAGATCACTACATTTTAGCCACGAATGCAGTTTTACCACTGAAACTACCAATCGTAAGACCTTCGGTTTTGAATTAAATGTATTAAGTTTGTGATTAATGACTGATTTGCGTAGTAGACCCGATAAATGAAAACACAATGCCATTGCAAAATTGGGAACAAAATCAACTAATATTCCAAATACATAAATTAAATTTGTAAGCTCAAAATATTATGCGAAATTGCCTGAAAAAATTGAAATACCTCCACTACACCTAAATACATTCAACTACCCTGAAAACCAATTAGGTATTTATGCAGAATTAAGCGCAAGAATTATTATCTTCACCTTATTAAAGAAAAACGAGAATTTCCGCTGTATAATGAAGCTTACTTTTTGCGTTCTTTGAAAATATTTCACATTCCTTCTTTGATAATTTATTCGGATTAATGAAGCTCCTTTTAAGGCTTAGGCTTAAGTGAACATTTGCATTGTTCTTTATATAGTATTAATAAAGAACAATAAATGTCTGGATATGCCTTTTAAATATAATGAAGTATTTATACTAAACTGCTCAACAAAATAAACGTTAAACGGCCAAATTTGGCCTCACTTTGGAACTCGATAAATTATGACTTCTGCGAGCTATTTGATTTCTGTTTAAAGTGTTATGTAGCACCATTCTTTTTCTATCAGTGTATGTTTTTACAATAAATTGGTGCTTCAGTTAAAGTTTCTACAGGGGGGCATTTTCAAGTGAAGAAAGGGCTTACTCTCTTTTGAGAACATGCAGTTGTAATTTGGCTCCTCCACCAGTCAACCTTAACCGACTCATATCAAGCATAGATAATCCTAAACTGTTTGAACATAAATTTAACTTTAATTCAAAGTCTACCATAATACTAAATTTCAGGGGCAATTCCGATTGGGTCACTGTTAATGCAATCCTGTGGATTGAATTTTTGTCTTGAGCTTCGACGGCAGCTGTAGATCTTGAAAATCGGTCCAAGACGAAATATATTAGCACTGCGAGACCAAAAGGTCGATTTTTTTCCATAACTCCGTAAATAAAAAGATAGAAAAAAAACGAAAACCCGTTTTGAGATTTGATGTCTATCTCTATGCCTTTTATGTTAAAATCAAAAAAAATTTTTTTCTCAATTGGGAGCATGCCAAACTTTCACAAATTTTGCATTGCTACATTTGCCATCCTGTAGAAACATTAACTGAATCACTAATTTTGTGTAAAAAGACGTACTGATTTTAAACACCTTGTGCATCATAGAATTTTAAATCGTTACAGTCACTTCGAGCAAGATGTTTGTTTTACAAGCATAATATATTCATTCAACACTGCGACTTGCTTGAAACTCTACCTAATGGTGTAAAAGAGAATTCCCTATGGTGGTATATTTTTAAGAAATTAATTACACAGGAAACGCCTGCAAATTCGGTTGTTGCAAAATTCCGAAGATGGGAACAAAACAAGATTTTGTATTTCCACTAAAATTACGCAACCGTGTCATTGGAATAAAACAGCCAGGATTTAGACAACAAAGTTTCGCTTCTTTAGCGAAGCTAAACTTCAATGTAGCTCACTATTTTATAAAGTTAGCTCTGTGGTTTCGTTTCAAAAAATTATTTTAAATCTGATGCTGGATGTTTAGGTTTGCCAGGAATTAAAATAATTTTTTAAATTCGGATCTCTTGTTTTTGTTAATCCTGAACATAAACACTCAATATTAACTTAATAATTAAGTGTTCAATATATTGGAACTCCCAATGGGTTGCAAGAATGCATCCACGTAAACCAATTAAACAATTCTAGAATTATATTACATAGCATATATTTGGTATAGAAGAATACAAGAAGATTATAATTAAAGTCCAGCTATCGCTTTAAACACAACTTTTGATATCAAATATTTTTGGTTTAATGGAACCAAATCAATCAGTTGCCTATTGCCCATTCTTACTTATACATACAATTCACTCTCTCTGAAATAGTTAATATATACTTACCGCAGCTAGCAGAAAGTCGTAATTGCACATGCACAAATTCTTCAATTTTGCTATATCTCCACTTTTAAGCAAATGAATCCAGGCTTCTTCCACATGCCTGAGTCGATATGTAACATCTTTATGTAATGTGGACTGAAATGGCGTTTCTTTGATCTCAGACAGCAGCGGCGCTGAAAGAATTTGAACACAAATTTTCAAGCATATTTTGAAATTGAATTGACATACATAAGTTCTTGACGAAATGTTCACAAAAACGCAAAATGTCAGAACGAAACACAACATTTAAAGAGCCATTTCAATGGACGTCTGCCCAAATTTTTACCAAGGCTTACTTGGAGCCAACTGTGAAAAAATTCAGTATATTTATCGAAGAAATTAGCTTTTAAAGGTATATTTTCAACCTTGCTATTTTATAATAGTTCAATGATTATTTGACAACTATTAGTATAGTTAAAAATCAACTAGTGCGAAACTATATTAAGGTAGCCAATTTCGACGGTAAAAAAATTACGATTCTATAAATGTTGTATGAAAAATCACAACAGCAGCTAAGTATCCGGACAGAGATTTGATAACAACATTGTACGTTTTACAGCGGGTTTGTCGTTAGCTATTTAATTGTGACCATCAGAACTTAAATCTATAGAGATGTCGAATATTAACACAACTTACATTCCTTGTAGAAACGTTAAATAGGTCGATTGTTTTACATAATAAATTCGCGGAATCTACGGTGCACACTTCATTACAAGCAAATTCTGCTAAAACAATAAATTTTAATCTGTCGAAGAAAGTGACACTGATCGCAATTGAACAAGCAATTAAGGCCGTGCTGAAATAGATAGAAACTAGCATCGGAACCAGGCAGGAAATATCATTGGAAGATTTCTCAGTGATTTGTCTTGATCTCGAACTTTGAAGAAATTACTTAGGTGTCCAGAAACAAGGTGAACACGGACTACTTATCTGCCGTTTATCAACTTTTTTTCACCATAAAAATTTCCTTTACCTTGAAGTTGTAATATCAGATTCAAACAGTCTTGTAAGCCGTAAAACTTAAAGGTGTAGAGCGAAATTTCGAAGCTAAGTTGATCATCATAAAATGGACACCTTTTAAGAGCGCTTCAATTATAAACTTCACCTTTGACCGTGTCTCTGCTTCATAGTTAATGCGTTAACACCTTGACTGCGTTTTAAGTTGTTAAACAACCGAGGCACTGATCTTCGATCCCAGGAAGCCCAATTAAGGAACAAAATTAATGTTTTTTTTTGCGTTGGGAACTTTATGAAAAAATTTAACTTTAAAAGCCTGAGAATTCTAACCAACTTATTAGAGTTGTTCAAACTCTCGCTGGCATTGAAAGCTATTTCCTAACCTAACCGACTTTAGTAATCGCCTTCTTCTAATACATGTTGGGGTGCAGGACTTGAGGGACATGTAAAATAGTGGATATTCTCATCGAGCGCAACACGATTCATCACACATTTCCTTGCTTCTTCCTCAGCTTGCCAGTTCTATAGAATAATTTTAATTATAATCCCAAGCTTTTACATGATCTATTGGTGGCCAATGCAGTGGCCCGTTATTAAATTCTATATCAGCTTTCCGTGCGATTCGAGACTTATTGCCAACTACTATAACCATTTCCATTTTCCTGCGACTGCGATCAAAATTAAACGCATTTTGCGGGGAATTCGAAAAAAATTTACATAAGTTATGAAGCCACTAGCCAGATAATACTTTATTAATGAAAACGGTAATATTCGGGCTCGAAGTATTTTCATATTCATTCAAGTCAAGTTAATAAAACTTTTTGATTAAAAATTGTTCTGCTTTGATATGATGTCTGTCTAATTACAATTTATCGTTATAAATGGTGGTGCACCTAAACTTAGAAATTAGTTTTCAAGATTTCCGTAAAACTTGATAAGCTGTATCCTATGAATAAGTTTAATTTAAATTGGGAAAAATACAATCTTAATCTGATCCAGCTAAGTCTTTAAGTTAGAATATTATTTCAAGGAAAGCGATATGAAAAATGGCGGAGCTTTACCTGAAATTTACTTATTATTTAAACAACTTTTTACCCAAAAAATATTTAAATTTTTCTTCAAATATTACTTATTTGCATATTTAGGAGACAGATATGTTCCTGTTAAATCTAATGAAGAAAATGTGTAATTTTTGATCATTTAATTATTTTAAGCTGAGTTCCCGATGGAACTTCCAGCGCTTTGCGAAATTACAGTAAAGTATGTTTCCAAATATCGAAATAGTGAATTAATGGATGACAAATTATTGAAATTGAAAAAATTGTGCAAGCAATTAGAAAACGTTGCACCACATAGAAGGACACTAACGAATTCTCAATTTCCCATGGGCCGCCGCAATACTTGTGCGGAAAAGAACCGCTTAAACTTAGCAAACAACAAAAAAGGAGGACTGATGGGACACGCCCCTTGCAGAAAAAATTTTCCACGATGGGTCTGTACTATCATCCCAGCTGTAGAGGTTGCGAATTAGAGAACGAAACAACTCTATATCTAATGCGCTACTGCACGGCAAAGGCAAAGGCAACAGAAGACGAAGCCTACTGGGAATTTCTAAATTCGTCGTCTAAATAAATCCTAAAATGTATTTATTTCCCCAGTTTTATTCAATTAATTGAATGTACGCATGTTCTAAACCTTATCGATAACAAAAATAAAGACAAAATTTTACTTTTTTGCATAATTGTGAACAGTATCCTGGCGAGCTGTACCAGTATTTATGTAATTGGTGCAATTATCAGATGAATATTTGCCAAACACACGAGATAATATTTTTAGAAATATTCATTAAATATTCACAGTCCCCGGAGGGAAAACAAGTCATTATATTAACAATAGGAACTTTGGGAATACAATTTTACGATAACGATCCTATATTAGCTAATTAACATAAATTGCGAATTGACAAAACTGCTGAACTGGATTCTAACATGCAATTATGAGGGTGCAATATCTGAAAATATTAAACGAATGGAAATAACTAGTCTTCAACATTTCGGAAACTGTTCATTTATGGAACATTTAACGATTTGTGAAATATGGGCAATATTAATTTCAACTGCTGCTTAAAAGTTGCAATTTCATGGGTTATTCTTCATGATATTTGCCTGGACCATCATAAGCATAACTTGTACTGCCGTTGGTGTTCATGTTCATGTAACATGTAACATGCGGATTTGGAGAAAAACTGCTACTAGATCTCCTCAGCACTTATTACAAGAATTTACATTGAATTTATGTCACAACTTAGTAAATTCCTGTATGAATGTAGGTACTGATTAGGAAATATTGATGATCATTCGTTTTATTTATAGTTAGCAAAGCTCAACGTTTATGCAATCAGACAACATTTTCATATAACCTTTTAAAACGAGTATTATAATTCGTAGTATAATAAGTGCGGTATGTTTCACAAAAAATAAAATTAAAAATATTGTATTAGTACTCACCGGGTTCTCCTTCGGATGCTTCGTCGTCACTATTGTCTCCTAAAAACTCCCCGAAGAATAATGTGGCCATTTCTGTGTGCAAACTTTTAATCATATCCGAGCTTGACAAATATCTTATTTTGGTCAATTCCTTAATCATTGTATGTCGCCAGTCAATCAGAAGTATTCCACTCATTATCTTCTCCCGGATCAACGGTTCTGAAAAACATTTAAAAAATAGTCCTATACAGATGCACCAATATTAGATATCAATCTGCTTCTGATCAAATTGATTCAGCAAATTAACTCTATTGTGCAAGTGAAAATGTTAATGAAATTTAATTTGGTTTAGATAGTTATCCGTCCGCAAACACACAAAGTAACTCTTTGGCAATATTCTATTAAATGCATTATTATATTGCTACTTAGACAGAAGTTACAAATAAACACCACGTTTGTCAGCAAAATCGTACAACCTGTGGTGATGAGCGCAACTGAGCAAATATTTCTTTAAAGCTTCTGTAAACTGTAATATTTAAAGAAAACTGCGGAACTTGATGCTCAAGAGCATTTTCCTAATAAATGGAAATTTTCTTCATTGGCTAAGCCAAAAAAGTCAGCTAATTAAATTTAACTAAAACTACCACTTATTTTCGGAGGAATACTTCACTGGTTAATTGCGGACGTTCATCAATCAGCAAAGAAGCACGCCATTAATCAATTTGTATAAATTTGGCTTGACAGTCTTTAATCAAAACATTTTTCCAGTAAAGTTCATGAAAATTGAAATCAATAACTAATAAACTATCACTTATTAGAGGCTAATTTTCGGTATATTCAATTAAATTAAGTAAAGTATAAGATGGCATTCACAGCTGGTCAATGTATCGGTTGAAAACTTTTCTCGGCATCGTGTACCATGGCAATAACTTCCCCACTTTCGTTCATATCTGAGGTGAATATTATCGAAAGCGATGAGTTGTTTTTCGTGTCTCTCTACGATGACTGGTGAATTTTCTAATTCAAGTAAAAGTCTTGAAACAAAAGTAACCAGTGTAGCTTTGGAAGCTGAAGCTTATGCAAAATTTTCATTCAGTGTTTATAATTCAAATCAGATTTACATCTTCACTCGATAAATTGCTCATAGAAATGATAATTTTTTCAAGGAGCTGAAAGAAAGGAATAACTGACAACATGTAGGGACCAATTTTGCAATAGAAAAGAGAGAAAATAATTCATAGAGAAGTAGCTACATAAATATAAATATTATAAAAACGTTATGAATATTATTGAAGTTGAAGCCTGAAGCCATAAGATCCATATTCGCCACTATTATGTGTATCTAAATGATGAATTAATTCAAACAGATTGAATAATGAGATATTCAACAGAATAAAAAAATTATTTAATTATATGCTTTGTTCTTGTGTCATTTGAAAATGAACAATGAACATTTTACATTTCTATCCATTCTCGTTAAGACTTTTTAATAATAATTTTCTCAATGCCCATTGGTATATTTTTCACATTTCCTTTTAAAATTTCTGTAATTTTTTCATAACATTTTCTATTTTTGTCCCTTCTAATACTATTATCCGATCACTGTTTGAATAGCACAAGAGAACTATAATCCATCTTTTTCAATTGGATTATAATTCTGCAAGTGTTCAAATATTAGAAATAAGGCTTAAATCCGGAATATAACCGAAATATAACACTATTACACAAATTATTTGCTGAAAGCTTCTGGAAACTAGAAACTCTTCGCATGTATTTTCGACTAAACCTAGCTTTAAAATTAGTTGGTCAAAGTAATTCTACAGAAAATTAATATTAAGCTAGCTTTTAATTACCCTATTTGCATTCAAATACTTTCGTAAATTTTCTATCAAACTTTGCATATACAGCTTGTTTATAATTAGACAAACACGTGTTTTTAACCGGATGCTAGACGTAAATAAAATTTCCGTTGGATATCAGACTATAAATGTCAAACTTCTAAATTCACGTTGGAATCAATGAAATAAATATAAATTTTGTTTGAAGTATTGATAGGTAGGCGCTATGACCAACGAACGGGAAAAATATGTAAATTGTATAACAAACGGAAAAGCCAACTGGACCCGACATTAAAAAAAGCTAAATATATAAAAAGGCCTTTTGGAGGGCGGACGTGACATCACGGAAAAGTGATTTATGTTCCACTGCTAAAAAGGTTCAAACATAAGGAAAATAAAGCAGCCAAGGTTCAGCTCACTTGAGGCCTAATGCAAAACATCTTTCCAAGTTATGCTGTAGGGTTTAATAAGAATAGACAAGCTTTGCCTTTGTTTTACGACGTCGCATCTTTCTACTAACATTCTCTTTAATCGTAATTGATAACTTGAGTTTGCAGATAATTAGGTTAATCAGATATTTCTAGATACATTTTTACTCGATTTATAACTGAGTAATATTTCACATTCTATGACTAAATTGAATTTTTCAATATTTTCTTCATCTTCAATGTAGACGGTAAATGACGTCAAGGTTAACTTCAAGCTTCTACACACATCTCTTGTTTTGTAAGCAGTTACACGTTAATCTTCAATGAGCAATTTGGACTTGATAGCAGTTGTTTGCATTGACATAGGACCTTATCAATTATCAAGGATTTTCAGAGTAAGAAATTAGTCTATCAACAAATAACGAACCATAACTAATAAAACATTGGGTGGATGGATATAATAGGAAAATCCTCCAGTTATTTGAGAAACATAAGATTTTGCTCAAAAATATATTTGGAACAAATCAAACCGAAAAGGAATAATAACAAGGACATGACGAACTTATCTAAATATAAAAATATAATGCTCGAGTGTGAGGTAAATATTCTGAATGAAAATGAGACGATGACAAGATACAATTCGAGAGGAAAGAACCCGGTCAGAGTAGATTAACTCAGACACATCAAAACAATTTTAAAGGAAAGTAAATATGTAAAGAGAAGCTTGGTAGTTGCCTTAGCCGAAAATTGACATGTTAAACAGCACAAGCAGAATATTACAATTATCTGATGCATTTGACTAGTTTAAAAATATTCAAATCTTATGTAAATTTCACTGAATCCATCACTGAAAAGATGATGGATGGATTCATATTTCGTATTGTCACCACCGGTTTGAGTAGATTTAAAGAAAAAATACATTATATTAATTCTGATAAAGACGACATATTGATTAATACGTTTAATATTCACATAGACGTTGATTGTTAGCAAGTAGCAAAATTCAATTACGAAATAGAGTTTGGGGAAATACTATAAATTGAAAGCTAGTAATATTACAATCATCTGTTGCGTCATTATGTTCTAGCAGTTGCATGTCTAGAATACCACAAGTATAAAGCGCGTATTTATAAGCAAAATTAAAAAATGCAGTTATTAATACGATTATAGCCTGAATGCATTTGCAGTCTTTAGAAAGTCCATTTCAAAATGCAAAGCTAGAATAATGCTATTAATTGAAAAATGAGGGCAGAAAGACCGATTAGGTCGATAACCTTTTTCTGTAGGAAATAAAGATTATTTAAATATATATATTGAGAAATGAAAAAATGTAGTTAGGTACATATAATCCTGTTTTCCATTCTTCATTTCTATTTCTCGAATACTGTACAGTCTTATATACACAGAGATAATAAATACATTTTATTGAAAATTCGAAAAAAATGAAAAAATATTTCGGAAGGTTTTGGTTTAGTCACAGAACTGCTATTAAGATAAGTTGCTGATTTGCAAATTCAGATCACAAAGCCCCGAATGTGAATTTGGACCGAAAAATGTAATTCCGTCCTCTAAGCCGGAATATAATCTGCATAATTCCGAGTTAGAAACCGGAAAAATGCAATTTCAGTTTCAATTACCTAATAATTTAAGGTAAGGTAATGTGTACTTTACCCATTATTTGAATGTGTTTTATTCCAATCTGGTGTGAAGCTTCGAGATAATTTAAAATTATTCTTCACACGCTTTCATGAACGGAGAGTTAAATCTGATTTGTAATTTACTGAGTGAAACTATTTATAATTATTAACAAATAACATGTTCTATTAATATTAAGACCACACCAGACTTTTGCAGTGAAAATGAAAATATACAGTATCATAAACTTAGAGTGTCTTCCTACAAATACAAAGTCAGGTTTAAGCAGAAATATCCGTTGCGGTTCGATATTTTAGATTGATATTGAAATGGAAAAAAGTGTGAAAGACATGTTAATTTAACATTTTGAAGGGTGCAGTGGAAAGGTAACGAGCGAAAGTATAACAGACAGTACAAAAATAGTTCAAAGCAAAAGTCATCACCACTAACTGGACCGAATTGTTTAAACTGGTAATACAAACTAAACCATTTTGTATGAGATGGAAAATGACAGGAATTATACAAAATGAAGCCAATACTTTTGCATAGAAACTGTGAAAAACATCAACATGTTGACAGTAGAAAGTATCGGAAACAAATATCGTATTATTGAAGCAACATAAAAGAAGCCGTCAATAACAATTCCAATCATCTTATGTAAAATAATACAAAATTGAATATTCGAAAAAGCCCATAAAACCTATTTCAAATTATTTGCGAAAATGGAGTCAAAACAAATGTTATAAATATGCTTTTCCCAAATAAAGTTCCGTGTGTGGATAAGGAAGTCATCGTATTTCTCAGGATATATAAGAGTGGTTCGCTCTTAATGCTTGTATTGCTTAACAAAATATCAGATGTGAATAAGTTAAAATAATTATAGAATTGAAATTTCTAAATTTATATCCATTTGATTAGTAGATTCAAAATCAGCATTGAATAATTATTTTAATAACACACTTAACTTATTAAGGAACTAGATAAGTGGAAAATTATTGAAAAGCAGCTGGAATAGACTTCTATATGAGTTAGCGTTGCATGTTATTACTCCGATCATCCGAATTAGTTGTATTTTTTAAATTAAATTTAGGTATACAAATTTTATGGAAAAAAAATCCGACAAGAATTCGTTTTTAGTATAGTCATCATATTCTATTTTGGGAATCACTTTGCGTTTACTAGACTTTTTCGACACTTTCGAGCATCTAGAGACATTCCGATATTGAATCCAAATTTAGCAATGCCGTTTAAAACTACGCCACTAAGAGGATTTCTATGACCTGGAAAATATATGTGAGACGTTTGTCGCAGTAGAACA